CCCGGACACTCTTTCCTGCCTATGCAGGGGGTCGGACTCAATGATCTATTGAGGTCCCTTCCGACCCTAACATCTATGAATCTATAAAATTGACACCCTGTTTCAACTTTATGATGTCACTTCGACTTACAATGCTTGATCCAATGCGACGCCATGCCAGCGAACAAGTTCGCTGTGTCGCGTATCTCCCTGGAGAACATCTGTCCAAACATGCTTGGACACTTTCTTTAAGACAAGACTCCAGAAAAACTTTCAGCCAAGACTCCTGAGAAGACTCCAGCCAAGAACCCTTGAAAAAGTCCAAGCAAGAGCCCTTCAAAAAGTCTAACAAAGTCACCTCAAAGAAGTCCTTCCAAATCAATATGATTGCTATTTATAATATAAATACATTAATGTAGGTATATTATTCATCTATAATTGATCGAGTACAAAATTCTGGGGTATTTTTGGTGAAAATAGGGTATCAGGCCTTGATTTAGGAACCAATCCCCCATTTATAACATTGTTTCTTATGAGAAAATTGGTTCCGAGTTGCATCATTTTGACTTAAGACATGGTTTTCAGGAACCAGTTGTGTTGTAAGTCTGAGGACTGCCTGTAACATCTGTCTTCACCCCTACATCTAAGCACTTTGTGACCTGGTCATAAAAAGAAGCAGGATCTGCCTGCTATAAACCCATGCTGGTTTCCCCTTAACATTGTATTTATTACTTGCTGGCCCCCAACAAATGTGATCCTTTATGATTTTTTCTAAGATCTTGCCAAGAATAGAGGTGAGGCTAACTGAACTATAATTCCTTGGGTCCTCCTTTCTCCCCTTCTTGAAAATAGGGACCACATTGGCCCTTTTCAAGTCTTCTGGGACCTGTCCTGAGCACTACAAGCTCTCAAACAGTTGCACCAGTGGTTTCACTGTGACACTGGCCAATTCCTTTAGTACCCTTGGGGGAAGATCATTGGGGCCCGCTGACTTAAATATGTCCAACCCCTCCAAGTGCCCCTTCACTAGGTCAGCGCTATCCGTAGGTGGATTGGTATTTCTCTCACACCAGACTAAAGTCTTATTGGGAGGTGTGTTTGTATCTGTGTCCAGGAACACAGATGCAAAGAAGCCATTTAAAAGCTCTGATTTATCCATCCTGTCTGTTACGAGTTGCCCTATACCATTCTGTAGAGGTCCTATATAACCCTGCGCCGCCTTGCTCTTTATGTACTTAAAGAAGGACTTTTTGTTAGTCTTAATTTTTGTCGCCAATTTAAGTTCAGTATCTGCTTTGGCCTTCTACACTGCTTCCCTTCAAGCACGTGTCAAGCAGGTATACTCTTCCTTGGTAATGGACATGTTGAAAAATGCTGCAGCTTTAAAAAAAATCTCTTTGGCAAGAAGAGTTCTCCCTTTTACATATAGATCTCATGAGAGTTGTACAGAAAAACAGTTTGAGTTAGTAAGAAATATATTTCAGAAACAGTGGGGAAACATGACCTTGCAAAGAACATAGGTATTGATTTGTAAGCTATGTTATTCATGGAGCATATGATGTCCAGTTGCATTTTCTCCCAGTTAACTTGAATATATTTAAGATACTGATTTTGACATGTTAAGTCTTAGCTACAGTAAAGACATTTTCTGCCCATCTAAAGTTGAAGTTCTGAGAACATCACTTCTATCTTAAAAAAAGCCTGCTTAATTCTTCACTTAACTAATTCCTGATTCAGTGAAGTTGCTTTGGTTTTGGAATATGCTGTAAGGTACATGTTTTCTTTGGCCAGATAGGTCAATTTTATTAATTATTGGTTTTGGTTGACCAGTCATTATCTATATATGTGTAAAGCAGGGGTTGTCAACCAGGGGTACGACCCCCAGGGGTACTTAGAAAGGTTGTAGGAGGGGACAGTGCAGGCTCTGAGGGATGGCAGTGGTCTCCCCCCTGGCGCATTTGCCTCTTACCAGGGAGAGGGGGAAGGACATGCTGGGTGCCAGTGACCCCATGCAGCACACCACGGCGCCTCCATAACCTCCACCCCAGCTCACACTCCTGATTGGCTGCTACCCCCTTACACAGAGCTATGAGGGTCTGAATAGCAGTGGGGGCTGTTGTGCCTGCCCCTGGCATCGCGAGATTGGCTGCGCACAAGGCCTGTCAGCAACCTGCAGAGCCGCAACCTGCCATGGGAAAGTGGGGTGGTGCGCGGTCAAGCAGGACGGTGGTAGTGGGGGCTTCCACATGCCAGCCCCCCACGTTTGGCCCTCCTCCCAGTGCCACCACTATGTGCACCCCTGGGAGAGAATGGTGAGTGCTTGCCCCTGGATCAGCATGCGGGGCAGGGCAGGCTGCAGCTACAGGCTGGGGCCAGGGCAGTGCCTGGCTGTTCCCGGAGTGGGTGTTGGGCCAGGCTGTGCTGGGAGGGGGTTGGGGGTTGTGGCAAATGTTGCAGGGGCTGCAGCCCCTCCCATAGCCCTGCTCCCAGCGCTACTGCTGCCAGCCCCGAGCGGAACCTGGCACAGCCCTGGCCCCAGCCCACCTCCCCATGCAGATCTGGGGGTCACATGCCTCCGTGCCCTCCTGCGGGTGTGTGTAGCAGCAGGAGCTGCCGCGCCTTTGCGCAGCTCAGTCCTGTGCCCCACTCTGGCTGTGCAGCATTGGCCCCATCCCCAGCCCAAACCCCACTGCCTCCCTCACTTTCTTTGTGACTGAGCTTGGCGGGGGGACTTAAGTGGCTCATCCAGAGGCATGGTGGGGCTCCCGTTGCTGCACACAGTGGGGAAGCCAATGGGGGGCACGTACCTTGGACCCCCCCCACTACACCCCTGGACGTGCCACCAGGCTCTGATTGTCCCATGATCCAGTCCGGCCGGGGCCCCATTCACGATGAATGGGGCCCCGACTGGGCAGGGTTGTGTGGCAGTCTCCACAGTGCAGGAGGGAATGGGGCAGGAGCAGTGGTGAATGGTTCACCCCTGCCCTGCTCCCTCCTGCACTGTGGTGGTTTCGATCCCCAGCCCCACTCCCTGTCTCACCACGGTGGGGGGTGCTCAGACTGAGGTTCCTGTAGTAAGGGAGGGAGCAGGGCAAGAGCAGGGGCTGGGGTGAGTGGGGCCCAACTAGGGCCCCACTCACCCCAGCGCCTGCTCCTGCCTGTGTCCTGCTCCCTCCCTCACCATGGCGGCTTTATTCTGCCCCCCATGGACCTTTCCCCTCCACCTACCCCTTCACCCACAGATTTACCTGCTGGGGGGGGGTGTGCGTGTATGCGTGCACTCAGCTCTCCCAGATAATTTTGGGGGGAGCTTTGCCTCTACAGCACCTGCCACATCCCAGTCCGAGCCCCAGCCCTAGTCTCATTCTGTCCCTCACCATGTGGGCCTTGATGTGCCCCCCGCCCTAAAAACAAGAAAAAAATATAAAGGGGCACATGAGCTGAAACTTTCAGACTGAAGGGGTACACTTGTTAAAAAAGGTTGAAAACCCCTGGTGTAAAGGATATGATAGAAGTGTCTTATAATGTGGGTTTCATATATTTAAAATTCACCTGAAATAAATGTCTTAAGTGTTCTTGTTTTCTGCACCAGAAATCAAGAAACCTTACAACCCAGAGCATGAAAATATTGTGTATAAATGAGAAGATTAATGAAAACCATTATCCGTTATTTAAGTCCCATTTTGAAGGAAGTTTTAGTGTTTTAGAAAGGTTGACGGTAATAATAATGTAACATTTAACTTACTTGTATCCTTTGTTGGTGGTACGTCTGGTATGCTCTCATCATTCTGTAATTTAACGTTAGTGTCAGGGGAATCAATCATACCATCCTCCATATGTAAAAGCAAAAGGCAAAAAATAGAGTTCATTAAAGACTTAAAATGTACTTCTACTTAAAAATGTACTTTCTGCTCTTGTTACTATAAACCAATTAGAAAATTATATATTTATATGCATTTGACAATGCTTACAATGTTGTTTGTTCCCCCTTTTGTTTGTGGACTTTTCGCATAAGAAGTAGATGGAGACAAGCATTTTTTAAAAATATAGAGAAATGTAAAAAATATTTGGGATTGGCCACACATGGAATAGGGATATAATCTATAAGTACCCATCTGAAACTGATTAGATTTAATATTCAAAAGACCATTAGCAAGGAAATAACACTTAGGAGGGAATCCAGCCACACTGTGCTGTATCCAGCAACGTCCCTTCCCCCACCACTGGAACAGTGAGGGGGTAGGGACCCTGACCTGAAGGGGCAGCTGCCCTTGTCATGGTATCCTGGGGAGCGCAAACCTCTTCCCAGTCCGAGTGCTGCACTGCGGGTGGGAGCGGGGTGGACATAGCTATTGCAGCCTGCACAGGGCAAGCAGTGGTGGCAGGGCTCCAAGGGGTGGCTATGGGGGCTAAGCTGAATTTTTTGGGTGACCATAGCCCCCCCCAGCCGCTCTAGCACTGCCACCGCCACTTGCCCTGTACATTCTGTGGCAGCTCTGCCCACCCCACATCTGCCCATGGCTCAGCTCGCCAGGAAGAAACTTGTGCTTCCTGGGACACGAAATTGTGAATTGAGTAGGTCCCTACACATAAATGGTTTCTGCATGAAGCAGGAAGTGATTCAGCAAAAAGTTGAAATCTGATTTTTATAAAATGTACTGTCAAATGCACAACATTAGGCCAAAAGTAGTTAGCCTTATCACATCAGTCTGCAGTCAGGCAGGATAGAGTTGCACCTTACGAACCACTTGAATTGGATTAAGTGAGCTGTTGCTGATGCATACAAAAATGTATGCATCTCTGATTCAGTTGGTTTATAAGGTGCAACTCTACCCTTCACTAAGCAAAGTGAAAGGGGGCGATCTTCCTTAATATTTCAATGTTTTAGGCCTTTACAATAATAATAGGTGTAAGTTGTTTTCAGATGAAAATATCAATGCTTTCCCAAGCATTAGTGACTGAAGTGTATAGTCACTGCAGTACTCAATATATAAATTTGCAGGTTTAGGGTAGCTTCCTTTATTGTACTGTAAATCTAAGGTATTTGGGTTTCTTGCTGCACAATTAGATAATTTTCTATCACAGAAAACATGGGACTAGTCTATGGATAGACACGCTATGAGCACCCATATATAAAAAAATGCAAGTCAAGTCCAAATTTCATTAATTTTGTTTTAAAAAACATCTTTCAAAGGTTAAACATGTTTCCTGGTGTCAAGTTTAAATACTAGGGCCAAGTGCTGAACCAGCGAGGTAGAAGCAATTTCTGTCTAAAAACTCCATAGTGACTGTGGAACACAACGCAGAAAATAGCTTTGCATGATTGCAATAGGCTCAGTGCCTGCTTATACGGGAAGAAGGTAGAAGGATCCTTGATCTACCCCATATTTAGTTCCACCTCCTCCTTGTATATTAGTCTAGTTGGCAAAGAAAACTGTAGCTATAGAGGCATAGGTATATTTTTTTTATAACTATTACAAAACCATATTGAAGTTTTACTTCTGAATACTTGTGCCACCTTAGAACTTACTTCTTCCTCTATAAAATAACCAATTCATAAGACATAGTAAAGGTCACTCCATGGAAGGCTTATATAACAACTCTGAAATAGTCCAGTTACTTATTACTTGCAGTGAATTAATTGGCTTTGTAATTTCTTATTTCCGTGAATCGTACTAAATATGTAAACACAGTGGATCCCAACTTGCAAGTAATTACAGTGATAATACTGTATTATTGCCTTTATAGACAACATAAAAATTAATATTCAAACCTTTATAATAAAACATAAATAATATTTATTGCGAAAGAATGAAAAGTCGTACACATTAATAGTGTTAAGGACTGAGTTAAATTTTGCATTTAAGCTCCGAGGACATTTATACACATACTTTTTGTTGCCGCAACTTTTATACATTGATACACATACTTTTTGGTTCCTGCACTGTGTCGCATGCAGGTGTATAAGTGGTGAAATGCGTGTCAGTGCACTTTTGAACTAAAGCACCTTTGATGTATTTTAGTTCAAAAGCATGCTGCTGCCATTTTGTCAATGCTAACACTCATTTCACTGCTTATACAATTGTAAGCATCGCAGCACTGGGTGCTTTTCAAACTGCCTGGTGCTACAGTGCTTGCATGTGTAAAAATGCCTTGAAACATTTATTTTTAGCAGTGTTGTCTGAATATTAAATTTAGATATATGACTGATAAATGTATATGACTGTGACTATAGTATAGTCGGTGCTTTTCTGCCAAATAAATCAGAAGTGCTCAACAAAAAGCATTGAGCAGCCTGTCTCCTTCCCCAAGGAGGAATTGGGAGGGGAATTTTATTTCCCCTCCCAACAAATTAATTTTATGTGATCTATGCCAATTATGGATATATCTCTTCTGTAGCTGCTGCTTCTCCTGATACGTGAAAGGCTTTCTAGTGGCACCCAATTCTTATCTGTGCAAATAGTAGTGACTCATTTCTGTTTCCTGTTTCCTGCCTTCATCTCCTTTTCTTTAAGATGTAGTGCAGGGTTTGGCAAAGTTTTTGGGCAGTGTCATAAAGCACCCATAAACCTTGACTTGTAAGATGTTGGCATGTCAGGGGCGGGCTCTGTGGTGGGTGGCAAGGGCCTGTTCAGAGCCTGGGCCAGCTGTGGCAGGTAGCTGGGAGGCTGCAAGCAGCTACACTGAGGTCCACGGAGCCCTGGAACAGCTTGTTGCCAGCAATGGGTGCAGATGTGCCTTGGGGCTGATGGTGGGGAAAAAGCCGGGGTTGCACAGCCACAACCAGGATTGAGCCTTCTGTGCCTTTCTGCCCTGAGGGACACATGCCAAGCAAAATGCCTTCATATGCCACACCCTGGCATGCATGCTGGGGGCTGCTGACCCCTGATGTATTATCTCGTGCTGTGCTGTTCTTCATTTGCTTCCAAAATGAACTGTAGCATCTGGGTTATTGTTCTCTAAACCCAACCTTTTTAAGGAGTAGAAGTGCTTGCTTGGACTAACATTCTTCTTGTTCCTGTATTTTCCAAGCAAGAAGAAGCAACATATAAACATGCTTGCCCAGAAAAAAAATTGCTTGTATGGAATGAGCAGGTCATCTCATCTCCTTCCCCCATTGCTCTGCTTCTTATTCCAGCAACAGTCCTCTGTTGATATTGGTTGGCCCTTCTGTCTGAAGCCTGTTCAAGTGAGTGGAGAATATAACTCTGCTCTGTGTACCAGGCCTCTCCTTTGTTCCCCTTGACATTTTTAAGAGTGGTAGCAATCATATTCTCTTGACTTCAGTGGAGAAAATGGAACTGTTACTTTTAGAGGTGCCCTGATACGTCAGTCCATATCGTATTGGCACCGATAAAAGGAAAATTTACATTATCAGCAATCAGTTTTTTTGGCTGATGTGGCTGATAATGTCACTGATACATGCCGTATGCATGCATGCACATGGCCAGGAGTGCAGCCTGGCAGCTTGGAGAGCAGCGTCCAGCTGGTAAGTCTGTGGGGCAGGGAAGGGGCATGGGGGAGCAGATCGAGGCCCTGTGGTGAAGGAGGGAGTGGGGCTGGGGTTGGGGAGGCACTGCCCAGGCTGCTGCTACAGGCTGGGGCCGTGGGCAGTGCTGTGATCTTCCCGGAGGGTGGGCTGGACCAGGGCTGCGCTCGGTGGGGAGGGACGACAACAGTGGTGGTGCTGGGAGGGGGGGCTATGGGGTGTGCTACAGCCACCCCAAAATTTGCCATAGTCCCCCTGAATCTCCCCTCCTAGCGCCACCACCGCCTGTCCCAAGTGCAGCCCTGGCTCAGCCCCACTACTAGGAAGAGCCCAGAACCACCCTCAGTGGCAGCCTGTCCTCACCCTGCATGCAGGTCTGTGTGGTACACCTCCCCATGCCTTCCCCGGGAGTGTATGCAGTGGCGGGAGCCACCCCACCCCCTGGACCAGCTGCTCTTCGCTCCGTTCCATACCCTGCCTTGCCTCAGCTGTGCAGTGCCTGCTCCTGCCATAGCCTCAGGCCCATTTCCTCCCTTACCATGCAGGGGCCTTGATCTGCCTCCTCCATACCCCTTCTCCTCAACAGACCTATCAGCCAGATGCTGGTCTCCAAGCTGCCGGGCTTCAATATCAGCAATCGGATCAGTATAGGCTAATATGGTTACCTAATAATTGGCCATTAGTATCGGCCCAAAATATCTTTATTGGTACACTCCTAGTTACTTTGCACTTATAGGAAGACAACATCGCATGCATCTTGGTTTATATCTGTATTGACATAATTGAACATACTATAGTGAACACAGAGCGGAAGCGTTCTGGTGTATTTTTGGAGTAGTCTTTGTCTCTTGCATTCCAATATTTGAGTTGTTGTGGGGGGTCTAGCAACATTTGTGGGCAGAGTACGCAAAACACCCCAGCCTTGACTTGGAAGATGCTGGTGTGCCAGGGTAGATGGCAGGGGAGCCACAAGGGTCCCAATCCTTGTTGTGGCCGTGCAGCCTCTTCCCTGATGCCCTCCTGGAGGCATGTGTGCACCCGCTGCCAGCAACAAGCTGGCAGAGGGCTCCACAGACCTTGGTGCAGCAGCTTCCAGCCTCACTGCCACCTGCTGCAAGCAGCTTGGGCTCTGTGACGGGTGGCAGGGTCCTGCCCAGAGCCCAGGCCGCTCACAGCAGGTGGTGGGAGGCTACAAGCCACTGCACCAAGGTCTGCAGAGCCCTGACCCAGCTCATTGCTAGCAGTGGGTGCACATGTGCCTCTGGGTAGAGGGCGGGGAGCTGTGAGGGGCCCAGCCCTTGTTGCAGCAGTGCAGCTCTGGCCCCTTCCCCACTGTCTAGCCTAAGGTGCGTGTGCCAAGCAAAATGTTTTCATGTGCCATGCTCTGCAATGCATGTGGGGGGTTGCCGACCCCTGTTGTAGAGTTTCAGGGTTAACTGTTCCCAAAAGACTAATCATACTAAACATGGAAAAGCTAAAACCTACCCTGACATACCCTACTTTGTTGGTTGCCAAGCCCTGCAGCTTTACACTTTAATGACTATTTTTAGTTCCAAGTTGAGGGTATTGTTTTAATCATGGTTTTTTTTTCTGTGTAAAATGAATCTTTTATGTTAGCTTTTCAGTAAAACACATACTTAATACACATACATAGCTTAATAAAATTAACTGTGAAGATGGCATTAAAACATCACTGTTTCTAATTATTTTTTCTTTTTAATATGTAGTATTATATACAGGAAGGGTAAAATTATGAATCCAGGGAGAAACTTTCATTCTATGTAGTGCTTTCAAGTAATTGTTATAATTTAATATGATTGCCCATTATCTTAATATGCTATATTCACTTGAGGTAAGGCTTTGCTGCAGTGGTTAATAATAGTTTTAGATAGGGCCTCCTGGTATTTCTATTAAATCCCTCTCTTCAGTGGTTTAATTTAGTTTAAGTATGTGTTCCTGATAGAAGTTTGTCATCTAAAATCTGTGCGTGCGTGCGTGCGCGCACGCCATTGCCAATCTTGGGCCAGAAGGAAGTGTGGCATGTGTTTGTGTGTGCGCGCCGTTGCCAATCTTGGGCCAGAAGGAAGTGTGGCACATGTTTTGGTTATTTTCAATGGATAAAATATTCTGGCAAACTACAATTGCACAAACTGTTGCACACATTAAATAAAGATCTTTTTTGCACCTCATTGTTTAAATTGGGGATATGGAACAAGTTTAGGCATACTGTAGCACATAAGGAACTAATTAGTTTCCTTGCTGCAATGAAAACACTTCAGTGGAAAACTGGATTTGATGTAGTTAATCTACTGCATTCCTAAAACTTCACTTAGTGGAACAAATGGCCTACAGAAGACCTCCAGTTTACAGTGTTATGCACTGATATGGGTATTTGAATAACTCAAATATGCATTTGCTGACAGTGTTCCCTTTTAGTTATATACTTCTGCTTTTTATCCAAGAAATAATTTATCTTTTTAACAATCCACTTTTGAAAATCCTATCATCTGCTGTTGTGTCAGATTTAGTCATTTTTAAACACGGCAAACTTTTTAGGTAACCACTTACAGATCATTTTAGTTTTAGGGATTTCCAGTTGTTAAACATTGGTTTAGACCAGTCTTAATTGCAGAAATATGGTGGTGGAATGGGATAAAATGTTAAAGGTGCCCTGCATATTGTAGGTTTGGAGTGGAACAAAGTGAGGAAGATCTGAATTAAAAAAGAAAAGCGGAGTTTACTGTTTTAACTGTTTCAATCCATAACTTATACTAATTCGACTCTCTTACTCTGCTAATTCTCTCTCTCACATTTTACTGTTTATGAAGAAAATAAGATGCATATTCAGCAAGAACTTGTTGTTTTAATAAAAATCATCATAAAAGCCTTTTGGTATTTGGAATTACCACTGTATGTGCATACATATTTTCTCTTGTAGCTTGTACTGAAAAAATTGGTATTAGTTTTCATTTATCCTGCCTAATTCTAGATGTAGTACATTAACTTCAAGTTCTTAACTCTTTTCAGGTGAATTCTGAGTACAGCAGTAAGGCTTGTAACTGTTCCTTCTACTATAGTCTGAGAATTTGCACTGAATGCTCTTTTCTTTCCAAATCTCCTTTCCCAGTTAAATACCTTGGATTTACTTCAGGAGTATTACTCCAAACTAAACAGTGGGGGGTGCTGTTGAGTACAGGTATTTGCACTCTTCTCTATTGCCTTCAACTCTGACAAATATACTGTATTTCATGGTGTATAAGGCAACACAGTGTATAAGTCAACCCCAAATTTTTTATCAAAAAGTTAGTTTTTTCATATATCCACTGTATAAGTCAATTTTCACTTTGATGTTCGTCAAAAAAAAAAAAAAAAGGATTGGGCCCTCACATGCTGGTGTGCTCCAGGGAAGTTGGATCAGGCGCCTGGAAGCTCAGGCAGCACACAGCCAGCTAGCAGCTTGGCCAGCTGGATCCTGGGGGGTGCTGCCACCACGGAGGGAAGGACCAGGCCCCCCCATAGCTCAGGGGCTGCCTGGTGCACCAGCAACCAGAGACAATCCTGCCGGGTGTGGGGCCCAGGGCAAATCAGCCTGTGTGGGGCCCAAACATGAAGAAGCCAGCAAGGGAGATAGGGGGTGAGTGGCCAGATGTGAAGGCAGTGGCGAAGAGTCACCAGCACTAAGCAGGCACTGCAGGGGGGGCCGTGGCCAATCCGCCTGGATCCATGAGGCCCCCAAAGCACGGGGCCTGGGGCGGTTGCCCTGATTCGTGTGTGTCCCGTTTCCTCCCCCCACACCTGGGACACAGCCCTGCTAACAACTAGCTCCATGGCGGTGGGGGGGGG